CCCACTGACTTAATCTACAAAAGGAACTAATCATTAAAAAAAGGCCAAAAAACAAAAAAGGTACAAAGTACAAGTTTTAAATAGTGAAAATACAGACACTCCCCCCCCCGCCCCCCCCCCAAAAAAAGTTTCTTGCCTTTCTGTTATATCCAAAAACAAACCTAACAAAATGTTTTGAAATGTTTACTGGTTCCATGTGTACTATAACCAGGTCCTAAAACACTATACCTGTGATACACATTAACTCACAGTGCAATATACCTGGGCTAAAAATATCTTCCACAGTACTGCTTATTCTCTCATAAACACAATGCAATGTTGGCTACTTAGTTCTATCCCACACAGAAACTTTAAGACTATTTTAAAAATACTAAAAATCTAATACTAGTATAATTTAATTTCAATACACCGAAAGGGAGATGGGATTACTATCTTCCTTCTGCTATCAAGATATATTCTTATTGCTTTTATTTAATAAACATTTCAAAACGTTAGAAGCCAGTAAATAGTTTACAAAATCTAGATCTCTAAGGTTGTTAAGCATTTTGTGCAAAATAAACATGAGCATATAATTTTAAATTACATGCAAACTTTTCTGTGTAATTCTTTTGTGTAACAATCTTAAAATTTCTTATTTTCCTAAGAATTCCACTAAGCAACTAGGATTAAGGGAAACCTGTAAAACCCACTCGGAATTTTTCCTTTCACAAACACCTATGAAAACATCTCTAACAACACTCAAGGAGCCTATATCATTCCTTCATTCTCTTTTTGAAGGCAGTCTCACTGTATATAGAGCCCTGGCTGTTGTGGTTTGCAGACTAGACTGGCCTTGAACTCAGAGGTTGCCTGCTTCTGTCACTGACTCCCAAGTGCTGAATGCGGGCTCTGCCACCACACCCGGAGCTTACATCTATTTTAAAAAATAAAGTACCACAGTCTACTGAATTGCTAACAGTGTCTGTCTCCTAAGAATATTATTTAATATTTCTAAAATGTACTGGAATGAGAAATACGCAGGTAAACAGCACAGAAATGCACTAGCACTGCTTTTCCTTCAAGGTTATATCCATTACTTGTGATTTAATTTCGAGCTGTAGTTGGTAAACTATTTTTTAAAATAAATTCTTGCAAGAGTTTCCAAACAAGGTAGGAAATGAGCAACAACACAAGTTTGTTTACCAGAAATGAACTAAAGGGAGACTAGGGCCAAGGTATTTCTCAAGACCTTACCGAGTAATTCTGCTACCTAAGCCAAGTTTGAATGCTAGCCAGTGCCAGTCAAACTTCAGCAGTACGCTGACACTCCACAGTCATGTATTTCCTAATGCACGGACACGTGTAGTGCTACAGTACATGTGGAACAACTAAAAGTTCCTAGGCCATTTTCCATTTAACGACCCCACTGTGATTCTTACAAACCACTAAACACATACTGACCTGAGTTTTTCTTCCTCAAATGTCAATTGAGAAAATGTTTGATACCAAGTACAAATGCACGGGGACAAGCTCAAATGCTCTTCACTTGGTTTATGAGCCATGTATGACACAGAGCTTCAACACCCGTTAAGGACTTTCAATTAAAAACATTCCACTCACATTGAACTGCTTTCAATCAATGGCAACAAAATGAAATTCACTAATCTCTTTACAAGGAAATAAAAGGGGAGGAAAAAAAGCACCGAATAAATTTAAAAAAAAAAAAAGAAAAAGAAAAAACCTGAAACTATGAATAAAAAAAACCCAGCGGACTACTCTTTGGAGATTTACGATTACAGTGTCTTTTCTCCAAAAGAGGACAACTATTCCAGGAATGGGCTGGGCTCAGGAAAACACTGTAGGGTGTGGTGCGGACCACTACAGGCCAGGCCTGAGGACTGCCAGGATCACAATCCGTCCGGAAAGAAGCCGCCCACCGGAAAGTCCCGACCAAAATTCCCTTCCTCTGCCCCGCCCCCGGCACCAGCAGAGCCCAGAGAGGAAGCAGCCGACCGGCGCACGAGGCCACGCGTCACCGCGTTCTCCCGCCCACCACGGCTGACGTCAAAGGGCGGGGCCAGCCCAGCGGCGCCGCCGTTGACCCTGCTGTTACCAGGCGCGAACACAGCCAATCAGCACCCGCCGCCAGCGCCGGCCGGCCTTTGAACTCCGCACGGCAACTTCCTGCTGTTTGGCGAGTACACAGTGCAATGCAGTATGTCTGTCAGCGCTGCGGCACAAAGGAACAGCCATTTTGTGACTGAGCTGGACGTGCACCAAGATGCCAGAGCCTCCGGGAGCTGCTCCCTGCGCCAACTACCGAGCTGCCCCTCACTTCATCATCACAGTACCAATGGGAACGTGGGGAAGGGGGTGTTCTGATATTTAGGATTTCGATTCATTCGTTTCCAGCCTTCTCAAAAATCCCATTTTTAAGTATTATCAGCGTCATAAAATGGCTGCCACTTAAAACTGCCTGTTCCAGTCCACAAGCACTGCATATTCCTTTTCTAACCATCCCCAACCTGACCAGGCTAAGAGGCTCTTGTAAGAGGCTCTTGAAAACGTTAAGATTTTACCCACACCTCCGGATATCAAAATACGGCTCAAAGGCAGACGATTTTGGATAGACATTTAATTTTGAGTTTATAAAAGCCGTGTCCTAGAACACATAAGTGTGCACACAGATTGCATGTGCGTTCTCTTCCCCCTAGTTTCCACTCCTGGATATAACGTGGGTAAGTATGTGGCATACTTTTTATGTTCATCATTAAAACTGTTGTAGTTACAAATTTACAAATGTAAATTGTTTGAAATTACATTCTAAAAAGTCAGTTTTTAATCTCCAAAAATCATGATATACAAAGCACATCAAAATTCAACATTAACTTCAAAAGAATACAAAAAGACACACTCAACAAGAATACACCTTAATAAAGTTATAGCACTTGTTTCTGAAACAGGAAAAAAAGTTTACTTAAAACTTGTGCTCATTCCTGTTTCACAAGTGATTCTCATTCCAAAGTTTACTTGACCTGAAAACAATTCCTTTCCTCCCCTGCAGAATCAGGGTACAAAGGTGATTTTAGTAATGTTCCCTAAACACTATACTTTAAAAATTTAGCCTCTAAAGGCAGCCTACAGATAACACGGAAACCAGGTACACAGGGGCAATGCAATTTCAGCTCACTAGAAATAACAGCCTACTGTACCAAAATAACACAAACATCCTTTAAACTTGACAATCTTTAAAGGAAGTGATGTCATAACTATGTACATGCATTAATAATGTATATAACTTAAGAGTAACAGTTAATTTAAAAGATTCTCGAGTATTTGGACATTCATCAAGTATACAATTTAAAGTAGAATTGGCAAAAGCATTAAAAACATGCTTCTTGTTTTGACTAAAGAAATCAAATGCATGACAATGCCCAAATCATATCCCAGATAAAAGTCAAAGTTTATTCACAGGCAGCACTTTGAGATCTCAGTTAGAGAGCATAGTCTGATCAATGAAACCAAAAACCCAGCCAGCGTAAGAAAGCCAAAACCCTGGTGAGGATATGCAAATCATATACTCCAGGGAGTAGCAACTTTAATGCTGGGTCTTTCATAATTGTCAAATATATCTGGAGCTTCCGAGAGCTTCAAATTTTTACTTTCCAGAAAACTAATTTTGCATTAGAAGTTTTTTGTCCTATATATAACCCAATAATTGCACAGGCAACTCAAAAGACATCCAAAATTGTAACTGAATTTGCAAAAGAACTTGGAAATGTATTTTTAAAAGCAAGATTCAAAATGTTTTTAAGTCAAAAGCAAAATTCATCATTTGTAATAAACCATATTCAAAATTTCCAAATTTACAAGCTAATTTAGAGAGTCTTATGCAAAATTATAAAGCAAAATCAAAATTGGGAAAAGATCACATAACCAATCACATCCTTGTTAGCTCAATGATTTAAAAATTATGACATGACAATTCTTAACACATCCAGAAATGCATGCACATTATTTTTTTTAAATAGGATACAGTCATACAACAAAAATATCTTATAGGCTTTATTACTTCAGTCACTGATAAACTACTTCAAGGAATGTGAGACAAATTATTATTTGAACAAACAGTATATTAAAGCTTCAGAAGAGAAAGCATTCCAGACGACTCTGTCAAAAATAAATGGATAAATTTAAAGCAGCATCAACTAAAATGTAAAGATAAAATACAATGACCAACCAGAAAGCACTATCTTAACATAAATACACAAACATAAACCTTGTAACATCTTAAACATAAAATCTAAAATTATATTGTCATAGTAACAAACACAAAGCTCAAGTATTAATAGCATTCCAGGATTTTTGCGGTTACAGATTTAATGATTTCAGAAACTGTAAGTAAGGCTTTGGTTAAGTCATAAAAATTCTCAAAATTGTGAAATGTATCAAAAGAAACAATCAAAAATACAAAACGAAAGGCATCCGTCAAAGGGTCCCACTTGTGATTCCGTTGTTAAATGTACATTTTCCATTCATAGAACTTTCTCAAATGTCTATTTACTATAATTTACTACCACAAGGCTCCTCTATGGCCCTCAATTACAAGTTTGAATATCCCAGATTCTTCAAAGAAAAAATCTGCCTTGCATGTAAAATGGTGCAATGCAGCATTGGCTAAACAGACAAGGTCATTTTTCTGCAGCACGAAAACCTAAAAATGAAAAATTTACTGACAGAAAAACTGCAGTTTCTAGGAAAGGCCCCTCCGTACAAAAGTACCTTACCTTCTGAATGCTGTAAGAGGCCTTAAGTCACAACTCAACTTTCATAAATTGCTACCAAAAAATCAGGGTGTGGCATGTTAGCAATCTCAAGGTCACGCTTTAAAAAAAGCAACCCAAGTTAGAAAATTCTTATAATACAGACAGCAATCCATGTCTGTCAAAGTAAACAAGTGTAAGCTGAGGTTTCCCAAAAAAAAAAAAAAAAAAAAAAAAGAGAAAGTTGATAGCTCATACCTCGATGCATTGCTGTGTAGCGAACTGTCCTCCTCTTGGCTTTTGTCCTTATTTCTCATCATCTTTTAATTCTTAAATATTAAGGGGGAGGGGGAATCTGTGTTTGCTTTGAAGTCCTGTGCCCAGGTATTTACTGTCAAAAGTTGAAAGAAAGGTAAGGTCCCAGCTTCTAAGGACGGTTTTTATTATCAGGAACAAAGTCCTGACGATGTTAGCGATATATGTAATGCAACAACGATAAGCACCGAAAAAACAAAAATATTTCTATTTTTCCTTCTTAAAATAAGTGGGGGATAAACTGAACAGTAGAAGCATCACTATCAATAAGGAAAGTTTCTCAAAGTAACACACTGGATACAAATAACAATCTCTGTATCTTATTGCGTCATCCAGGAATTTCTCTTATTTACAGTAAATAAAGCCAACTTCAACATAAAAATCTTTAAAATTATCACTAATTATCATGGACTTACCTGATCCATGTAGTATTCCAAAACAAGAGTCCTATCTAGTAGTAGAAAAATATCAGATCCGAAATAATTAAAAATAACGCAAAATCCTCCGTTAAAAAACAAAAAGTAAATGAAATAGTCCTCAAATGTGTTGACTTGTCAAAAAATAAAGCAGTAATTAATACTAAAACAGGTCCGGAAGGGAAAAAAAAGCCTCATTAGGAGAGCGCACAAAAATGGAGGTGCGCCATGGCTTCTAAGCTGGAAAAAACAACGACCTGGGCTCTCAATACGGCAGCTTCTTCCAACAAGGCACGAAAAGAAAGCTCCTAAAAGCTGCTTTTCTCCCAAAAAAAGGTTCGGTTCGACCCCAGTAAGTCACTAGAAGAGGCAGGGGGTTGCGGGGGCCCCCTGAGGCTGCCCGAAAGTTAGGGAAAGTTGCGTAAAGTGAACCGAAGCAGGGAGCAAAGCGCGCTCTCTCTAAGGCACAGCCGCCATCTAGAGCCTCCTTCCCAGCTCTGAGAGCTCTGCCTTTGATTGACACTCTCTACATTTACCCCACAACTCAGGTGATGTACCATAGACCCACCCCTTCATCTCCACCAAAAAAAAAAAAAAGAAAGAAAAAAGAAAAAAACCTAGATCCTCCATCCAAGGGAGCCTTAAGACCCCCAACCCCACACCTCCCTGCCCCTCCAGACCACTCCATGAGGGGGAGGGGGAAGGGCTTCTTAACCCCCTCTGGCTCAAGCACCCTTTTTAAGCCAGAGAGAAATGTAATTTGTTCCTTTTGTCTAAAGATCTGCTAAATATTTCAGTCCTTGAGCTAAAATAACTTCCTCCCTGGACAGGAAGTGGTGTTTTATCAAGCCATTTTGAAATAAGGATAATTTTTAGAGAATCTAAAGCTCAGCTTAAATACTAATCTTTAAAAAAATTAACACCCCCATGGGTAAAATGGCTTGTAGCTAGAAGCACCAGCAATACTATAAATGACTCAACTCTTGCCTTCTTTATGGTCCCTAAAAACCATCTAAAGATTAAGTTTAAAGGGGAATTGTCTACCCCAACTGGAAGGGGTAATTTTTTTACAACTCAAGAGCGCCTCCCTAGTGTTCAGTTGCAGTAGAGCAAAATTTAATACAACCATCCTACCCCACCCAGAATCATGAAAATTCTTTAACCCATTATATAACCTTGGAGGCGCCACACATTAAAAAATTCTCATACTCGTTACATATTTACTTCTTAAACTGATTTAGGCAAAATGAGTAACTACAAAATCAAGAATATACACCAACCATGGTCACCCTTCAATCAAAAACTCAATCTCAACTCCAAAACCAAAATAACCAGCATAGCCCAATGCTTCACTCATATTTCAAATCCAATTCTAGGTACACTCATATTTCATCAATAACAGGTCATTTACAACAGGACACACCTAACAGCCAATTATCAAACTTTTGAAGACAAACTCCCTAAAGGTGAAAACACAAAGTCTATAGAAACAAAATTACAAATGCAGTGTTCTCTCCCATACAGACAAGTATACCACCTACAGACCCTAAAAACTCAAAACATTCCTTTACTAAACCCTGTAATTGGTCAAAACCATGTCACTCCATCAATGTGGTAATCCACTTCAGATTTACAACCAAAAGCAATTATGTTAAATATAAGTAAATGCAAAATCCACAATCAAGTTTCAAATCTACAGATATTTTTGCATCCAAACAAAAATCCAAAATTCATTTTCCAATTTACACGAAGACCAACCAACTACCTCACATCACTCAACGAACAACACTGCATGTGTATTAACCATAGATGTGTATTCTAAGGTATTTTACATTAACAATGGGTTATTTTGTTCGTTTTCTATATTGAGAAAATATAATCAATGGTCATTTGGTCCACAAAACAAATCCCCATCATTTCTTTACATTAGTTAACGAAACTGTTACTAGCTAAGATCAATAAATAAAAACGTGTCATTTGATTCCAACCATGGATAATCCAAAGCATAGTGTGATCCATTTAAACTCCCAACTGTATAGCAGGAAACAAGATTTTTTTCAAATGTAAATTGCACTGCTGTTTTAGGACCTTTGGTGTGTATTATACCCTAAAAGCCCTACAAATACACATCTAATGTTAGACAATACAAACATCAGTATAACTCAAATATGATGAGAATTCTACTGCGAGATGTTTTATTTATACTTTAAAAACACAGGTCAACGAGGCCATTTGCATCAACACAAATTGAGATACTTGGTCTCAGTCTGTGTAGCCAACAAGTACTTTACTTTGTTTTGTAAATTCATTATAATCTCATGACACTTTCAAGGTTCCTATTACCCACTGATTAAAATGCAAAATGTTTTGAAAAGACCCAAACAAATTCAATGAAATTCATTTAAATCCTATAATGAACACCAACCAAACTGCTTTTTAACCAAAGGGTCATTCCACTCAGCACAGATACACAGACACAGCTTTGCCAATAAACATAAATCCCAATCAAACAAAACATTCTCCAGTACACCATTCCATTTTACCAGCTTTATTCAGTATACTTTAATGAAAAGCAAAGGATAAAGGTCAAAATGTTATTAAGGGGAAATGAACATTTAATGAAAGCTTCCACTTTAAAAAAAAAAAAAATTTAAAAAAGGGCCAAACTGAGAAATCTTTTAAGTTTTAGAGATTTTATTGAAGTTAACATTCCATATGGTCACTCAGATCAAAATTGTAAGAAATTCCAGAAATACAAACTACCATTTGAATAAATGTAGCATCTTCTCCAGATGTTAAAATGTACATGATATGTAACAAGTCTTTAGAAAGTAAATCCCACTGTCCATTTGTGTTGGGTAAGAATCGTTCATTTCATGGAATCCATATTAAAAGAACCCTGGGATGGTTGTATAATATCACAGCATTCTTGGATTAATCCATTTTCCTCAATTCCCCATAGTGGGCTGCCATCTTGATTTCTCAGTGGTATGGTCCATTTGAAACTCTTCAAGGTGACTGGATGCTTCATAAAAAATTAGAAGAAAAAAATTCTGTTGGAATAACAATCATCTTAATTCTTCAAACAAGTCTACCCACCTTGAAGATATTCTACCATACACAAATCTTTAATTCTGTAAAATTCTTTAGCTTGAAACAACACTATTGTGATAAACTTAACCTCTCAAAGACAGAATCAATGAATGCACATTTTGTAGGTTTTCCTGTCAGATATATTTGTAATCCATTAAAAATAGTAGCAAAGATCAAATTCTTAAAATCCAACATGATACATATATGAAAAATAAAAGCAGATTAAAATTCAAAAATGGTTAGGAGGTTAAATTACAGACATTGTGGATTCTACAATTTCAATGCAAAAAAAGTTTCCAAACTCCTTCAAAAACTAATTATAAAAAGAATCTTAAGGGTTTAAAAAAAAAAAAAAGCAATGGATCATTGCATGGCATACTTTTACAGTCTTACAGATGTTAATTTTGTTTAGATAACACACATGACCTATATAAACAGAAGCACCTTTATAGTTACATGTCTGAGAATGCAGAAAATGTGAAGCCACGAGAAAAAAAATAACAAAAAAAAAAATTAGAAACATCTGCTTGGCTTACTTGGAATTTGCCATAGAAACGCTATTGCTTTTCAAATTATAAACTAAAACATATTTTCATTGCCAAAACATCTTACGTTCCTCCTAGAAAAATTTATCTATTATTTAAATAATTTAGACTAGAGGAAGAAATGAGAATCCAGGTGATGTTACTACTAAAGATCTTGATTCATTATATTCACACAAAAGTTGAAAAAGTGTTTTTTTTCCAGTTTTTATGTATATGTGCCTGTTTTTGTAGTGGGGTATACATTTACATGGGTGTAAGTGCAATATGTAGGCCTGAGGTCAATACTGATGTTGGTACTAATGATGAGAAATCTTCTAATCTCTGTTGAAGCAGGATCTCTCAGTCAAACCGAGATCATCATCTTGCTAGTCAGTTTCCTCTGGGGATCATCTCTACCTGGAATTACAGGCAGGTGGTGGCTGGGCATTTACTTGTATTTGGGGGGATACTAATTCCCAAGCAAATGCTTAAAGGCTGAGCCATCTCCCGAGCCAGCAAAACCATTTTAATCCTTGGTCTTCTCTGTATGTTCTACAACTTTCCAACTCAATTTGTTTTTATTTGTTTGTTTGTTTGTTTGTTTTCTTTGGTTTTTCGAGACAGGGTTTCTCTGTGTAGCTTTGCACCTTTCCTGGGACTCACTTGGTAGCCCAGGCTGGCCTCAAACTCACAGAGATCTGCCTGCCTCTGCCTCCCGAGTGCTGGGATTAATGGCATGCGCCACCACCACCTGGCCCAACTCAATTTGTAGAGCTACAGTCAGTGACTGACTGGGGAATTATATATATATATATGAAAGTATGTTTGCTTCTCGGCTAATCTCCCGTCTCCGTAACTAAAATTAAGGTGTGTTCTCCAATACACACATTATGAAACAAACTTAATAAACTAGATAATCAAAAGACGGGGTGCCCCTTATTAAAAAATAATTTTTAAAGGAGTTTTACTCCTTTAAAGGGTTGTCACAGCATCAGTAATAGTCATCAAATTAAGGTATTCTTAACCACTGAGCTATCTCTACAACCCCAAATCAAGATATTCTTCTCTAGTAGCTTTTTGGAAATTTCTTGAACCCTTCTCCTTAAATTAAAAAATAATTTCTTCTATTCCCAAGTCAATGAAATACTATTTGCCTTGTTCTTTTCTTAAAATTAAGAAATGGCTGGGTACGGTGGCACATGCCTTTACTTCTAGTACTTGGGAGGCAGAGAGGCAGGAGGACCTCTGAATCTGAGGCCAACCTGGTCTACTTAGGGAGTTCAGGTTTACCCAAGGGTACATAGTGAGACCTGGTCTCTAAATGAAAAAGACTAATTGTAGGGGCTGGAAAGACGGCTCAGTGGGTAAGAGCACTAGTTGCACTTCCAGGGCCCAGGCTTGATTTCCAGCACCCACACAGCAGCTCATAACTGTAACTCCAGAATGGGGAAAACAATTCCTCTTCTGGCCTCCTCTGAGATCAGGCTTACATGTGGTGCACAAACATGCAAGCAAAATTTACATACATTAAAAAGTATTTTTAATCCCAGCACTTGGGAGACAGAGGCAGGCGGATCTCTGTGAGTTCGAGGCCAGCCTGGGCTACCAAGTGAGCTCCAGGAAAGGCGCAAAGCTACACAGAGAAACCCTGTCTCGAAAAA